CTAGGTGAGGAATAAATCAAGGAGTTTAGGCTCAGCTTTAGGTGGAGGAACAGGGTTTGGCCCGTTTCCCCATCCTTCTTCTGGGTACACCCCAACTCTCCTCACCAAAGCAGCAGCTCGACACAAGGACACAAAGTCCTGCCCTGGAAGCACACTGGAATAATGGCACAAGCATTGAGCAGCAAAGAGCCTGCAGGCACCAAACATCAGCCTGAGACACGCAGGCAAAGCCACGTAGGAGGGACACACAGCCTAGCTGGAACTCCTGACGTTCATTCTTTGTTTGTACAAGCACCTAATTCCCTCCCAGATGTTTGCAAAAGCTTGGCAAGCTGGCACGGTAGCAAAGAGTTGGCCTTTAATTAACCAGAAGTTAAATACAAAGAGGACGTCAGCAAGCTGCAAGTTGCAGCTTTCCCCCCAGCCAATGCATGCAGCTCTCCTGCATCCACATGCAGGGGTGTCTCTGCACACAGATGTTCCTTCAGCACGTGAAAAAAGGGCTTTGCTGCTGGTGCTGCTGCTTGCATCCCTCCTGATCCCCTTCTGCCACTGCTGACACCACGCACGTCCCTGCTCACACCGCAGCAACGTCACGCTGCCCAAGGGCTCCAATAGATTTCCCCCACGTGGATTTCAAAGAAACAAACCCTAAACTCAAGCCGTCCTCGAGGAAAACTCCAACACACTGTTGTCTGCTACAACAAAATCATTTCTCCTCTTCATCGCCACCAGGACTGCTCCACACCGGGTCAGCCCTACATCCCAATGCTGCCCCATTGGCCCCGGTGGATCCTCACGTGTTTGGCCAGGTGGTCACTGCGGGCAAAACGCTTCTGGCAGGTGGCACAGTGGTACGGTTTGACACCGGAGTGCGAGCGCTTGTGTCGGGAGAGCTCATCTGAGCGGGAGAACCTGCGGGAGAAGGGCAGCGTGGAGGGCGCAGCCGCTGTGCCAGGCAGTGCACAACAGCCCAGGATCCTCCTGGAGGGAGCAGAAAGGAAGAAAGCTCTCCGAGGAGTGGTTTAGAGATAGGAAAGAGGGGAGCGCAGCCACTGAGATCTTGTTTTCAGTTGGTTTTAAAGCGTCCGCCTGCTTCCTTCCTCTGTTCTACGCTCGTGGGAAGGAGAGCTGATGGCCCCGAGGACAGATGCTGAGAGAGCTGCTCTCTGGGGCATCAGCTCAGGCTGGCAGGGATGTGAGGACAGAGTTCAGAGTGGCAAGGGATTCCTATTGCTTCACACATCTAGCCAAAAAAGGCACTGCTGTTGAGAGAAGGGCCTGTTTTTCCTGAGCGTGCATTCTCCTTGCAAGCATCCCCTTGTTTCTCAGAATGGCAGCGAGTTTTCAGTGAGAGAGAGAGTTTTCAGGGAGAGAGGAGCAGCCTGCGAGCTGGCTTAGCACAGAGCACAAAGGAGGAGCAGCAAATGCAGCCACCCCGCAGCAGAGGAGCAGAGGTTTCCATGCCAATGCGAATTAACTGAGGATGCAGCAGCAAGGACTTGCAGGAATACCCAGTGCTCGCACTGCTTTTGGCTGTGTGATATCCACACCTGGTGCAGATCAGCTGCACCACCTGGAAAATCCCTTTAACCACACACACATCCCTGCTCAATTCTCCTGCGCCCTTCTGCTTGGCACAGAGCTCCAGCAGGGAGCAGGGAGGTGATGCTCAGCCCTTCTGAAGTGCCACCTCAATGAGGTTGGAAGTTGGTGGGACTGCAGCTTGCTTTGCACGTCCGAGTGCCAGGGGGATGCTGGACAGGAGGACTGGGCAGGATTTACTCCTGTTCTGCCTCTACGGAGCCAACACAGATGGCAGGAGTATTAGGATGGAAGGGTTTTTCCATCTGGCTGAAACGTGCCCACGCAAAGAAGCACAAAGCAAGGAGCTTCAGATGTAACCCCAGACTCCCAGCAATAGGATTTCACGCTCACACCTGGTACAGCAAACACTACGCTTGCCCTTCAAAAGCTCTGTGAAGATTAAATGCATCCCAAGGACGTCCTCAGCTCATCCACACAACTGCTTCTTTTCCAGCTCTACTGCAAAAAAAGTGAGTTCCAAAGTCTCAGCTCCTCCTGAGACAGCAGCCATCCTCCACCATGCAGGGAATCATGGTGGTGGAGGTGGTGCCAAGGCGTTGCACAAGAAACCAAGGAAGCTCAGTGCTGCCAGCACCAGTTTTCCTTGTGATATCCTTTCAGATCTGCTGAGGAGAAGCACTATGCAAGATCTGAGGACTGCTAACCCTCCTCGCCAAAGGCTGTGCTGAGCATCCTGCCCCTCGGGACAAGCATGTGGTACCAGGAAGAGAGCACAGCAGCAGGAAACAATCAGAGAAACGCAGAGTGGTTCATTGAGGGAACAGAGATGAAAGAAAACAATGCTGTGCACAGAGCAAACAGGAGAAAACGCACAAAGGAGCCATGCTGCAGGCCCAGCAGGAGGGACACAGGCAGGCAGGGTGGGCACACAGCGAGAGAAAGCAAAGGGATGGCTGAACCAACATGGGAAGGATGCAGCAGCTCCTGTTTTCTGGGAGAAGCATTCATTAGAAGAGCCATTTTTGTAGTCCAGCTGCACAAACTGCATTGCCAGACAGCGACTCAGAATATTTTTTATTTCCCCCTGGGTTTCCTTAAGGATCTTACCTGCTTTCCCCCCCCCTCCATGCTCCCACTTACCGCCAGCCGCAGTCAGGCCAGGCACAGCTGTAGGGTTTCTCCCCGGTGTGCCGGCGGATGTGGGCCTTCAGGTGGGAGCTTTTGGTGTACACCTTGCTGCAGCCCAGCTGTGGGCACTTGTGGACACGTACGGGGGCTGTGGGGGCTTTTGGACACACAGAGGCTGCTTCCTGATCCTGCACACCCCCCAGCATCCTCGCTCCCATCGGGTTGGGCAGCGGGGCGATCTTGATGTACTTTTGGTCCATGAGGGTCACGGGGGGTTGGAGCTGAGGAAGGAGGGATAGGTTTTGTCCCTGTAAGCTGATGACCAGTTGGGTCGCTCTGACAGCAGGCTGTGCCAGCAGGCTGCTGTTATCGAGCTGGAGAGGCTGGATATGGAGGACAACGGGAACGTCTCCATCAGCTGCTGTCTGGTTGCTCCCATCAGCTGTCCCTCCAGGCTGGGAACCATCTGAGCCATCTTCTTGTGGATGTCCCTCAGAACCACCCGAACCATTCTCAGATTCAACCCCGACCTTCCCTCCAGCCACGTGCTGCTCGCTCACTCCATCCTTGAGGAACTCAGCTTTGTCCCTCAAGAACTCCTCGATCTCCTCCAAGGTGGGGATGAAGTCCTGGGGAAGGCTGCAGCAGAAGTCGGGCAGCTGGAGGTGAGCCTCGAAGGCAGTGGGGGGCGGCTTCTCCTCCTCCCCATCAGCCCCTGGTAAGGGGAGTGGGTCGCCTTCATGGCAGCCAGTGCTGCCCTCCAGGAGGTGGTCAGAGCCTTCCTTGGGGCCGTGCCTTGGCAGGAGGGATGGAGGCATGCTGTGCTGATGGGACAAAGAACCTGAAGGGGTTGGCAGCTCCTGGCTGCTCACACACAGCACCGGCTGGCCCGCATCCCCCACCTGCACCGAGCTCCTGCTGGGCTGGATCAGGAGCCTCTGCAGCACCTCGGCTGGGGAAGTCTTTGCTCATCTGCAAGGAAACACCACCAAGGTTATTTCCAATGAGAAACGAGCAAGAAAACTCCAGGCTTTGAGTGTAACAGACCGTGCCTTAGAACGAAAACAGCAAAAGCAGTCAGTGGTCTTTGTTTGATAATAAAGATGCTGTGGCTCAAAAAACACATGCCAACCTTCTTCCTATGTAGGCTCCTAAGGGCTCGATCTCTCCCAGAAGCAAACTTCTCTGGGATGTTTATTAAGGCAAAACTACACAGTGAAACTCTTCCACCTGCACCAGAGGGCAGGCATGTGCTGCTGGATGGCACAGAGGCCAACGTGTGGCTCACAAATGAGTTTTAGTGGAGCTCCAGAGGAAGGTTCTGGCTTCTCCAAACATTGGCACAATGACAACACAGACATATCACAGCCAGGTTCAAACTATCTGGTTTGGGAACTAATAATAATCATAGGAGCTGCCAGTGTTGGGAACACATGGGCACCACTGTGCTGCGCTTTGTGGTGCCTGAAGGAGCACTGAGCACATCCAGGCAGGTCAGCCTGCACTGTGGCACTCCATCAGATAGCAGTGCAGACAGACACAGCCCATTTGGGGTCAGCTCAAGGGGCCCCTGAGGGCACACAGCTCAAAGCAGATGGGAATCATCACAGTTCTGAGGCACTCAGTGAGGCACGGCCCTGCCTGCCTGCTTGTCTTGGACTTTTAATAAGGAAAGCGAGTTTTCAAGAGAAAGAAAACCGATGCCAAAGTCACCTAGGAGTGTTTTCCAGAGTAAACAAGTCCATGAGATTTCTGCAGAGCTGCAAACCAGTTGAGCCAGTCCTCCTTATCAGTGCTTCCCCAGGGTCCTGCGAGCTGGGAGAGGGAATTTCTGAGAAGCAGCCTGGATATAACAGAAAGGCTCTTCCTTTAAGAAGAAATAATCCCCACCTAAGTTCCCCGTCTACCCAGAGCTGCAGTGCATCGTTGGGGCTGCCCACAGCCATCCCAACACAGCTCTGTGCCAACAAGTTGTGAGGAGCAGAGCCAGCTCTGCTCCCATTGTGAGGTGAGGACGGTGCTCCAACCAACCTCAGCCTGCAGGCTGCGTGTTTTCATCACAACACAAATCCGTGCTCTGAATCATCACCTGAAAGGCAGCACGGAATGGCAGCCCTGCCTCTGTTCCAGTGTTCTGATCCTCCTCTGCTTTCTGACCCTCTCATCAGCTCCGTCTGCACGCTTCAGAGGCTCTGAAGAGCCTTCCCCCTCTGGCTACCAAACACTGCTGTTTTCCAACCTGATTTTCCACCTTGCAGAGCAGCTCAGGAAGTCTTCATCTTTTCAGAATGCCCCCAAGGATAACCGAATTACACCATGAACTCCTCAGCTCTGAAGGTTTATTTAGTACATATCCCACAAATCCAAAGCGAACAGTTCTGTTGGGTGAACAACACAAACAAAAGCACAACCAGAGGGCAGGAAGGTCTGGGGCTGAGCAGACCTGGGCAGGTTTCTTGCAGCCTTGTGCAGCTTCAGCAGAGCCCTGATGCCCTCTAAGAGCAGCAATAGTAATGTTTGACCTTGCAGAGGGGAAAAGGGCAACTTATGGGGAGCTCTATTGCTGATGGACACCGGGGATGTGTTACAGATAGCAGTGACTTATCGACCCGCAGCATTTCTGCAAAATGCTCATCCACCATTCTGTGACCCCAGATAAAGCACTGCAGTGACACGGAGGCCCCACTTTGGCCTTCAAGCAAACGTTCTGCATAACAAGGTCAGCGCTGCTGCCGAGCTTCACTTCGCATTTCCATCCCTGTAGCTGTTCAGATTCCCAGGAGCACTCAATTACTGCCTGAACTCCGCAGACGTGCAGCTCTCACACAGAGGGAAAAGTCACGGGCCAACGTGAGTGTGAGCGGTGCTGAATGACCGCTCCACCAACACCCGCAGCCCCAGAACCCCGACTTACCTCGGGTCACAGCCTGCCCTCCCAGAAACCTCGGGCCAAAACGCGCTCAAAGCGGTGCCACGTGGAGCAGATCCCGTCGAGATAAAAGGATGCTCCGACCCAGCCAAGGACACGCGGGTGTTTGCAGCCCAAACGGGACCCGGCGCACCGGGAACGGCCGGACCCCCCCCTGCCCCATTCACCCCCCGGCAGCCCCTTATCCTCACCTGTTGGGTTCCGCGCTGCCACCGCGGTCCCATCGCCCAGGGGCGGCTCCGCGCCCGCTCCGCCCCGCGGGGGTTCGGCTCCGGGGGCGGCTCCGCGTCGCTGCGCTGTTGCGGCCGATCCCGCAGGAGATGCCCTCGGCTCTGCTATCTTATCTTTTCCTTTTTCAGCGTTTCAGAGAAAGAAAAGGACAAGGGAAAGGTAGCCGTGCCCTAGCGGGTAACTGCAGTCTGCACCGGAGTAACAAAACTGAGAGCGTGAGGTCCCCGCGTGGAGGCAAACGCACTGAGCAGGGAGAAGGGAATCGCGTTTTCCTCTGCTGTCTCAAAGCACTCGTAGGGTTTGATGGTGACAGAGGTTTGGGGTCAAATATTTTCAAGCAGGTGAACAGTTCCGAGGCTGGAAGTGCCCTTGTAGGACAGGAGATTTTTCTTGTCGCTGTTTGCACGGCAGAGACTGGAGGACATTGATCTGCCACAGGGCACCGTAAAGCCAAGGAAATGAATGTACATTCCTCTGCTTTGTTAGAGAGCAATGTGAGCCTGAAGAAAAGCTCTCCCAGGTCTGAGCAGGACTTCATGCTCGGAAAAAAAAACCAAACAAACCAACCACAAGCAAACAAAAACTCCCAAACCAAACACTAAAGGTGTGTGGTTGCTCGGACAGGGCAGCTCATCGCCGTCCCCTGACTGGGGGACAACACCCTCGGCTGCCACTTGCTTAAATACAAACCTGAGACAGGGGGTAAGAAGTGATATTACCGCAGTTCCTTGCAGGAATTGGGGAAATCTCAGCTGTTTAAAGATGCTGGGTTCCAACACAGCCGGCCGGGACGCGGCGCCGCGCTCTGTGCGCCCGAAGCGGCAGCGCTGCGGAGCCGCCGCGGTTACGGCGCCCCCTTGCGGCGCACGGCAGTAACGCACAACGTCCGTCTGTCCGTCCGTCCTTCCGTCCAACACCTTTAATTTCCTTCCTTTACATAATAAAATTATAACAGCCTTCTTCTCGCATTGTATACAAAATATTTACTCTACCGAATAAATAAAACATTCGCGTCTTGCAGACAGTATGTGATCTCGAAAGGAAAAAACAGCATCAAACGCTCTTCCTTTGCTCGCAGCAATCATCTCCTGTTAGAAAATACATCCTCCCTTTTCCCCTCCACATCCCAAAATCGCCAGCTTGCAAAAGGAAAGGAGAGGCACAGTGTGGCTCACCCAAGCAGAAGTGCACCTACACCTACAGAAAGGCTCCCAGCAACAGCCTCTGAGAAGCTTGCACCCATACCTATAAATTGTACAGTATGATCCCAGTCCTAAGGAGGATTCTGTGCTCGCACAGGTTAGATCAATAACAGTATGCAAGGGGTGTGCTTTCGTTTAGCAGAACATACCTGTGTCCCCTGCTGGGCTGTGTGGGATGCAGACACAGTTCTAGCAGCACACTGCTTACCCAGAAAGGACAACCTTATGAAGATAGGAGTTTCTCAGTACGCATCCTGGAAAATGCCTCCCCTATAAGCCTCAGTGACATCCTGACCTAGGAAGAAAGGCTTTTGGTAATGATCCAGGACCAGACTGCACACTGTGGTTTTTCTACACTGCTCTCTTGCAGACAGCCCCCATCTGTCTGGGTTTGGGCTCCCACAGTGGACAGGGTTAGCAAAGAGCAACGGGTCTTGGCAAGAGCTCCTCCCTGCACCCATCTGCCCACTGTTTTGGGAGCTGGCAGAGGGCCCAGCAGATTTCTCCTGGTCTAATAGGAGGGTAAGGAGGAAAGGAGCAATTACCGAATCCGCAGGGTTTCACTCCAGCTGAGGAAATGCAAAGAAGGGGGAAGAGGGAGCTGAGAAATCAGAGAGCCTCTTGGTAGATAACCAGGGAGCTCTTTTCACACTTGCTGAGCTGACTGGAACAAGAGCAGCACAGCCAGGATGTGAATGGATGGTTAGATGGGACCACATCTCTGCAGAGAAGGAGCTCCCATCTCCCAGGTAGGCCAAGGTGAGACACCAGGCACCCACCTGGAATGAAGCAGCAAGAACAGCTGGCCACAGCCATGGGCTCATTGGTCTTTTCAGAACATAAACGAAGTAAATGCAGGCACCTCCCTGGATGTGTAAGATCAGAGTTGCCACCAAAACCTGGGCACCAAAGCCTTAACACAGGGCAGATGTGGATGGGTGATCACAGAGCCTGAGTGGAGGGCAGATCTGAGACCCAACCAGCATGGACTGACCTCAGGCCCTCCAGCTCAGCTGGGACACACAGCCTGCTGCAGCCAATGTCACCACAAACCACTCCTGGCCATCAGTACATCACTACTCCAAAGCCATCTCTGTGGATGGGGGAATCAGGCAGGTTTCAGCCTTCCACTCTCATTGGACAGCTATGAGTAAAGGATGAAGAACTGCACCACCTTTGGCTCTCACATTCCAAACCAAAAGATGCTATGAAAGGCTGCCAACCCCCTGAGCCCACTGCTCTCTCAAGTATCACCTGGATGTTCTTCACCAAGCTCTCAATGCCCTCATCATTCCACCTGCACACCCAGGCTGTGTTGTGGATGCGCTCTTCAGGCACTTAAACAAATGGCAAAGTGTTCCAGCACTCAGGGACCTCTTTGAAAAGGTTACTGATCCCTGGGAGCATTCAAGAAGTGCTGCACCTTTGGTAGTGACCTTCTGCCTGCAGGACTTCCCCCTGACGAATGGGGTGGACAGAGACCAGGGCTGGAAGCACACACACAAAACCGCTTCCGTCAATGGTTGCACAGCTGCCAAATCCGTTCCCAAAACAGCTGCATTTCAGCACATGGGGCTTCTTGTGGGAAAGGGAAGCTGGTAGGCATATAATTTGAGGAGAAATAAAACAAAAAGAGTCACCCCTTACGGGAAAGATGTGTTGAAAGCAGTGAGGAGAAGCCCTCTCACGACCCGCTTGCAAACAGCAGGGCAGTAATCTCACTTCCATGCCAAGGAATATTCTTGCAAAAATAGCAACATTTTGCCTCACCAGCACATCTCACTGCCCACACACCTCCACTGAAAATTGGTCACAAACACTTTGTTTGCAGCTGAAACTGAGGGCTGCTGAGTCCCTGCGTGCCCCCAGCCCTGCCTCCAGATGTTCGTGCCTCACTCTGGGCATTGCTTGCACCATTTCAGAGCCTGAGTGCTAAATGCAAGCTGGGATCTCGGCTCCTACTCAGCACAGGGGTGATCTCTGAGTGGCAGAGCATTGGTGCAACTGGTGCACTTGTCTCAGGCCAGCAGAAGGTGCCTCGCATCTGAGGGCTGACCAACCCAGCAGCACTGGTCCCAGTGTTAAGGGATTGAGAGGCACTTGGAGCAGGTAAGAATTTGATGAGGTATGTTTGTTCCTGGATTGCCTTCATGGACAGCTCTGCCTGTTCTCCTCCCTCGCTGTAGGATTGAACCCTCGTGACAGCATCATTCAGGTGTCTGGTTTGGGGGTGCACACCAGTTTGGATCTGGGAGATCACTGGGAGAGAGCAGGCGGCTGTTCTGGGCACTGAGAAAGAGATCAGTTATCCAGAAGTGTAAGGAAAGCTAAAAAGAATCATTCTTAAAAAAAAAAATAAAAATAAAAATAAAAACGTTAAGCAGTCCTTTCCATCTGATGCAATTTGGTGCATAGGTAAAAGATAAGTCATCTTTTGGAACCGGTCCTAATGAAACGTTCCCTGTTTTTTCCAAAACATGCCATAGTGACTGTTCTCCTGGGTGGTTTCTCCCTGTCAGAACAGACACGCATCCCTCCTGCTCCACGGCCAAACCTGAGCTCCCATCCTTCATCCAAGGTGATCTCCTCTTCTTTGAGGAAGCGTTACTCAATAAGTTGAGTACAACTGCAGCAAGTGGGGGGAGAGGATACACACAGCACTGGAAGGCAGGAAAGCCAGTGGCTCTTTCCCCCTCCCCACACCCATTTCTAAAGGAAAAGCCTGACTCCTTCCTCCCCCCAGTGCAATCCCTTTGGTGCTGGCTGTGCAGTGCTTACTTTTGAGAAAGGCACAGTGTGGAAAGCACTGATGGCCCAAAGCACAATGCCCCAGTGCCTCCTATTTACACCTGAGATTATCCCTGCTGCCTCTCTGCCATCCCCAGCCCCAAGAGCAGCACTGGGGCTCCCAGCAGCAGCATGGGGACAGCACGCACGACATGCAGCACCCCACAAGCAGCCACGGGGATGTGCACAGCCCTCATCTTGGCACCCACGTGCTGCCCCGGTGCATCCCCCCATCACACCGAATACTTGGCCATGTCACTCTTATCAAAGACAACTTTGGTTGCAAAGTAAATGGCAACGAGGCCAAAGCTGGCAGCTGACACCATGTAGGCAGTCACCGACTGCGTAAACTGGACGATGGACCCCATGAAGAGAGAGGGGACAACCTGAGAGAGGAGGAAAGCACTGTCCAAAATGGCCAGGTCCAAACAGATCCCTCGACCCGGAGGAACCGAATCCGGTTCGCCCACCATCATCATCAGTGAGACATCACAAGAGGAGCTGCCACACAGGGCAGAGCTGGCAGCTGGGGGAGAGGAGGAAGAGGAGGATGAGGAGTAGAGGCCCCCGGAGTGTCCGTTCTGGTAAGGCAGCTTTTGGCTGGAGAGGTGGCCTTTGGGGAAGGATGATTTCTTGTCCGATCGAGCTGCATCTCTCTCCTCTTTGCTCTTGTATTTATGCAGAAATACCTGGTGGAAAGAAGGAGGGCACGTGAGGAATGAGGAGGAAGGGTGGAGGCCATCGAGCGAGGTGGGGGGCTTAGTGTGTGTGAGGGAGCAAAACCACCCTGTGCTGGGAGTGCTGGGTGTGCTGCTGCAGGTGGGAGAGCCTGGTCCACGTGAGGTGGCCTCCAGGAGCCAGCCTGGCTCTTCCCGGCTGGCACAGGGCTCAAAGCAGCCCTGACTCACAGGGAAAGCAGCCAAGGGGTGCCTGTGCTGTGTTGAAGCAGAGGACTGCAGCCCAATGCCAGCCCTGAGCTTGGGGACGTGGTGTTCTGAGTCCTGGGTTGTCACCTACCTGCTGGGGGGGTGACAACCTGAGGCTGAGGTGCTCTGCTGGGACAGGAGCAAAGGGGCAGAGCCTGCATTGGGAGCATCACAGAGCCAGACATCCCCCTAAGCACAAGGATAAGCCTTTATAAAGAGGCTGACTCCTTAATAACTGGGATATGAGGGACAACATCAGTGAGAGCACAATGCTCAGGAGAAAGCTCCCAGCTCAGCTCTGCACAGACCTCGAGTGAGATGCTCTCCCCACTCAGGCTGGAAGAGCAGGGGAAGAAAAGACTTTTCCTTCTCACCTTCTTGTGCCTCACTGCACCCAGGCTGTGCGATCCCTGGGGCACGGCTCACTGCAGCAATACTCACAGAGTGTTTGGATCAAAAAAAACTCCCCGTGCTAACAGCAATCAATAACATGCAGTCGGGTGCAAAAATGTTGCAGAGCCCCGGCTACAGAAACCCCGGGGCGTTTGCAATTATGCACAGCCACTGGCCTGTATAGGGTAGAGCAGATAAGGAAGGACGCGTTCATCTGTTATCCACATGATGAAATAGAGCAAACAAAGAAACTAAAAGGGAAAAAAAAACAGTGTTTGTGAGAAGAGAACGCTGTGTCCAGCTCCAGGGCTCGGAGGGGCTTGCTGAACAACCTTGTGCAGGAGGGACAGGGACACAGACTGCCAGCTTCCCCAGCCCCATTGCAGCCACCCCAGAGCTTTCAGCAGCTCTGGCACCCCCCCAGCTGCACCCAGCCCTGCCCCAGTGTGTGTCAGCACCAGGCAGACGCTGCTTGCACTGCCCCAGGCCATGGCTGCACTTCTGCAGCACAAACAGTTTCAGGTCCCATCAGAGAAGAGAAACCAGACGGGAATTTCACAGAGCAGGAATCAGCTTCCAAAGGTTTTCCTTGCAACAGCCAGGCTTTGCTCAGCTGCTTTTCCTTCAGCCCCTCGAGTCTGGGCTCAGAAGCACAAACCCAGGCTGTCACATGGAGCACAAAAGTCTGCCCATGTGGCTCCTGCTACCACCAGGAAGGACACTGTGTGATCCAAACTTGGACGTGCCCCACATTTCCAGCCTTCTCTATTTTGTGTCCATGCTCCCAGAATCCTGCTCAGGTTAGGACTTCAGATGCTCACAGGAATGAGCATGGTGAGGACATACACTCTCAGATCAGCCCATATAACACAGCACGCAACCCAGGGGGCTGCTGCCTCCATCAGCAGCTTCGTCTCCCTCTACGTTTGATGGCAAGTGGTGGGAATGAGGAACCTCTCCCTCACCCCACGTGTGAGCATTCACCATGCCCCTCACCGTGCCCTCGGGTGCTGGTAGAACATGTGGGTCTTTTCCACCTGTTCCAGACAAGGTTTAGTGGCCGTGCAAAGATGGGAGGGCATGCAGCAGAATGGTGCAACTTACAGAGCCTGCACACAGCATGGAGCTCCAACCAAGGTGGGCTGGCAGCTATCACCACAATCCTGCACGGGGTGGGAGCAACAGCTGCTCTGGATGCCCCTCTGCTGATTCAGTTTGGAAGCAGATCAAATAAATGAAAGGTGAAAAAGAAAGAGAGGGAAGAAAGGAAGCAGGGAAGAGGGAAGGCAAGCAAAACTGATGATGGATTTCAATAGTAAGAGGAAAAAAAGTGGTGAAGATGGAGAATGTTCTGCATGGGGATGCCTACTGTAGGTCTCCCTGCAGCCTGCTGGAGTGTGGTTGGTGGAGGAAGGAGAAGCCTTCAAGCTAACACAACAGAAAGACCAAACCCAGCTGTGCTCCATTTCATTGTACTAATGAGCTTTTCCCAATCAAGCAGTTGGATGTGTGGCTTTTGCACTCACAACCTGTGGGGTTTGGTTCTGCCACATCCATAGGAGATCCCAAGCACTCCTTTATCTCCCTGTTTGGACACAGTGCCTGCTGCAAATTGGGACAGGTTGGTCAGAAGTATTTGTTCAATGTGAACATCTGGATGGCTGCAGTGAGAACTTCTCCTTATTTCCCCATACTACCATTGGGATGAAAGGGCTGCTCTCAAGCCACAAATTAACTGTGCATTTGCAGCACAAGAGAAACTCCTATTGATCCTGTGCACAACTCAGGAACCTCCCAAGACTTTCCCACAAGGATATCATCTGTGGGATGGGACTACAGCTTTGGTGCTGGTGTCAGTGGGGTCTCAATATCTATATTACTTGGAGCCAGAGGAATAGGAAGAATCGTAGTTTACGTTTCACTGATCTTCGTTATATGGACAAAAATTGTAAGCGGGGCCTCAGGTCAACAATGCTGAGAGCACAGAGGGATGCTGGACACCCTTTTCTCTCACTTCTCTCTCCCATCCTACTCCCACCCCAATGCTTAACACTTCCTAATGCAAGTTGTGAGCAGGCGATGCTCAGGGCAGGAGATGCTGAGCTCTCTTCTCTCCTCAACGTGGGAATCTTCAGAGAGGACACAGCCTGGGGATAAGAGGTGAAGGAAGAGAACCTTTGTGTGCTCCCACCTGACCTGGCAGCTCCAGAGCAGATCCCTACCTGTTTTTCATGATGGTACAGTGATGCCAGGGTGTACGGCAGGATCTGGAGTGCAGAGAAGGTGAAGCCCGTCAGAGCAGCAGAGATGGTGACAACGATGACACTGTGGGAAAGGCACATGACAAAGGCAGCAGCAGGGAAGAATACCACGCTGGCCAGGTACACAGCTCGTGTCCCAAACTGCTTCACCATCCGGTCCATGATTGTCGAAAAGAAAATGGAGGTGACGCATTGCAAAAAGAGTCCCAAACTGCCCATCCGGACACCTGCAGGAAAAGAGAGGGTCAGACACTGCCACAATGGTTTCAGGCAGCTGAGCACCTTTCAGCCTCAATCTGCCCCTGCAGTGTCTGACAGCATTGCCCACATGTACTCCTGGACTCCCCGGCCTGACTGGAGGGGCAATGAGGGGTGGGAATCCAAATGGCGTTGTTCTCCTGTAAAGTTCTTGTTCTCACCTTATTCTAGGCCAAGATCTGTCACCTGCCCATAAACCAGGATCTGTTATCTGATGCCTAAAGCAACAACAGAACAAAAGGAGCAAGAAATTGTGCTTCAGCCAAGGGAAAGTATACAACAACCAGCGAGCAACTGCCGTATCCGGTAGCAATCCGGACCTCACCCTTTGCAAAGATCTATCAGATTTCAGGGAATTAAAACCATTAACCCTTTGAGGTGAGGATCATTACTCAACACATGTTTTCTGTGACTGTTAGCACAATGGAGCCCTGACCTGCAGGAAGCTTTACAGTGCAAGTGTTAAATAATAATTAAGCTCCTTCTAAGTTAAACAGACACTTGGCACAAAGAGGCAGTGTGCTGCAGAGGCAGCGAGTGGAAAACCTGGAGGGCAAGGTACACAGCTGGGAAGGAAGGCCAGGGAAGTGCCTCTGGGAATAATAGATTTAGATCTGTGGAGGGGGGGGGAAAGAAGGGCTGAATGGTGGAGTCAAGGCTCTGGGGCAACACAGCCACTAAACAGAGGACAGCAGGCAACAACAGAGTCCCAAGCCAGGGCTGTACTGCCAGCTCTACTCCTGTGCTCAAAGAACAGATGTGTTTCTCTGTTTGATGCACTGTGGGTCATGGCAAAATCCTTTCTCCTGACCCAGCTGCAGGAAATCTAGTTTAAGTGTGATGTGTTTTTGCATCACTGGCAGAGCTGAACCCATTCCTAGCTCCCACTAAATACTCCTGTAGCCTCAAAAAAAACTCACAACAATCCAGTTTATTTCTTACCTTCATCATAGCGGCGTCTGGCATCTGTGCCTGGCTTGGCTCTGGGGACACCATGGTACAGCCCTTCCCCAACAAAATCCGTGTAGAACAGCATGAAAGTCATGAGTGCCATCCAGCTGCAGAGCTCAGCCACAAACAGGCGCCGGATGACCTTGGGGATGCGGCAGTAGAGGCTGTGAAGCCTTGGCACCAACGTGCAGAGGTTTCTCAGGGCCTGCATCATGTGCCTGGCTTGCAGGAGGCTCGTGGAGAGCTGGCAAGAGCAGCAGGCAGAGGGTGAGGGCTTAGGGAGAGCATCCTTCAGTGCTGGGCCATCCAGAGCATCCCCTTGAGCAGCTGCTTCTTCGGTCACAAAGAGCGTGGCCAGCACACAGCCGAGGAAAATGACAGCGAGGAGGCTGAAGAGGCACGTCTCCTGTCCTCCCAGGTATGGGGCCAGAAAACTGGCCCCCCAGTCAATGGCTGGAAGCAGGTAGCCAATGCAGCCCCCCAAGCTGATCATGAAGGCGTACATGGAGAAGGCCTGGCGGCAGTTATCCGGCTCCTGGAAGAGGTCTGAGAGCAGTGCCTCCAATGGGGTGAAGCAGACCTGACCACAGAAATCCAACAGTCCAATGCCCAGGATGAGGAAGGCGATCTCCAGAGGGCGAGTATTGAGGGCAAACAGGCTGGCCAGGCTGCTGGAGTGAGGGATGATGAAGAGGCTCAGCAGGACTCCCAGGCACAGCACCCAGATGAATGGCCGCCTTCGGCCATAGCTGCTGTGCCAGTGGTCGCTGGCGGATCCGATCAGTGGGACAAAAACCAGGCCAAGGACAGGTCCTATCCCTGGAACAGAGAAAGAAGTGGCGTTAGGGGGCAGATCTGGACAGGACGTACATCTGTGTGCACGGTAACAAAAGCCTGGGCCATTTCTGGAACTCAGTGGGCTTCGGTGGGTCACAGCCTCCTCCTCAAACACAAGGCTGTCCCAATATCACAACAGTCCTGCAAACAGCCCACCTAAACACACACGCTTGCACGCCCTCATTTGCCCCTCAAAGGAGAAACAAACCCCACAAGGATAAGGGAGAAACTGCTTACCCAACACCATGGTCATGAACTTCTCTTCCACGCCCACTTCCAGGAGCAATGGAGGCACGTAGGTGATGCCAGCAGCCAGGCAGACCTCCAGGCCAAACGTCAGAGAGTTGAGCAGCAGGAGCTGAGCCCTGCGGTTGTGCAGGAGCACATTGAGAGCCATGCTGTCCCTCACTGCCCGTGGGCTGCAGCACTGCAGCACAACCCGGGGTGTCCCACAGGCAAAGTCTGCAGTTTCTTTTCCCTGTCTGCTGGACAGATGCTGCCTCCCATTTTTAGCATCGGTGAACGAAGCGTCTTTTCCTCCCGCTGAGAGATGTGGTCCCAGTAATGTTAAGTGTGGGCAGGCAGGGATCCGCTCTGTGCTCACCCTTCTGCTCACATGATGTGCTCTAAGAGAAGAGAGAGCTCGTTAGACAAGCAGGGGAAAGGGCTCAGACCTGGTCTATGTGGACACATCACAGTTGAAGGAGACAGCCCCTGACCCAATGGAGAGCTGTGGGGTTCTGCGACTCGTGCTGGGCTGCTTTCCAAGGGCTCATGGCAGGTGAGATGGGCACCTGTCAGAAATGGTTTGGGAAAATGCAATCCTGCCTTCGGGCTACAAGAGGTCTAATGGTCCCTCGGTGTCCTGCTCAGCCTCATCTTGCAGTGGGAACAGAGCCACAAAGGGCAGATCCTCCAAAAGGACATAGCATCCCTTTTCCCAGTGAAATCAATTAGGAGCCCCTGTCTGAGGACAGAGTGTCCACAGGGACACTCTGGGGACCTGAGCCATCGCTTAATGATAGGGACACCTCCTACCCAGCTCCTGGGGAAGCACTCACCCAAATCCTGCTGCCAGCCCCCAGCACGGGGCGCAGGGAACAGATGGTGCCTCCGTGGAGTTTCACAAACAAACCTGACCCACTTTAGCCCTGTCTAACAGTGAGCAGCAATTACCTTCCTCATTAGTCTGAGTCATTTATTTGCCCTGTAACACGCTCCCTCTTCCCAGCTTTCTTCCGAGGGGAGAGGCCACCAGATCCGGATGGGGTCTGAGCAAGATAAGGGAAAGCAGCAGGTGCTGCTTAGAAGTTTGTAAGGAGCGTGCCACTGTGCCAGCTATAAGCAAAGCTACAGCACAAGGCTTCCAGCATCCAGCCCCCTCCACCAAACTGTTTTGCTAAAAGCAACTCGGGAAGATGGTTTTGGTTACATTGGGAAAGGCAGAGGGTTATGCAGTGGGGTGACGTTCAGCTCCTGCACAGATGTTGCTTCGGAAGTAAAACAAACTGCAGCCTTGTTCTCAGGGATTGATCCATTCTAACCTCACTCCCTGAATAACCTGCCAGTGGGTTTCTCTGCAGGGACACAGCAGGTCTTGCTGTCCTGATCATGGATATCATCGGGGCATTCAGGAGGAGCAGTTTATCTCCCTGGTGCAGGGAAGCAGTCGCTGTGCACAGCACTTTCTTAACAGCACAGGGTGAGTCCAGCAGGAGGAACAAGGTGAAAATCCAGTTTCGCAGTCCTATCCCCCTCTAAATTCTTTGTCTCAGTTGGAAGAAAAGCCATCTCCTCCTACAGGGAACATTTCCAGGCCAACACATGCGCCTGTCTCCAGCTCCCAGTGATGGATATGGCTGGGTGGTGCTGGAGGAGCAGCAGTGAGGTTTGACAAAGACAGAAGCATCACTCACTGCTGCAGGGAAGGGGCGCAGCTCCCCAGCTGAGGAGCTGTCAGGCTGCCAATTACACACAATAAGCACTGATTATTTTCCTACCAGAATCCCTCACCTTCCCTCTTCGCGCTCCCTCAGACCTTGACTGTCACAAAGGATGTCTTCTTTTAACAACTGGGAACATTTAAATGTCTTGCTCAAGGTCAAATAGCGAGCTGACAGCAGAGGGGGGAGAGCAGCAGCTCGTCTTTAATCTCTGCACATCACTTCAAAGGAGCTTTCAGAAGCCCCAGCTATGCTCAGAGGCACTCGGTCTGCAAGGAAGCGATTGGGGGCAGCAACCACCTTTCTTAGTTGTGGGCCAGACACAGGATGTCAGCCTTGCTCCTTGGTGATGGGTACACAGCTGGCTGACAGCCTCAGGATAGGAAGTTAAGCTGCAACCCTCCGGCTCCATCAGAGGAAAGAGCAGCTCACAAAGCAAAGCCCACGGATCCTCCACCACTCTGAGCTGCATCTGGATGGGTGATGCTGCGTTACCAGCTGCTGAAATGCCACTGCTGTAGCCTGGGGGTGTGGAGAGCTTATGGAGGGAAACGTATCCCACCTTGAATAGAAAGTAAATGATGCCTCACACACACGTATGCACAAGGAAATAAAATCTGCTCTTTATCCCGGTGATATTGCTAGCACTGATTAACTAACTAGCACTGGGGAGGAAGAGAGAAGCTGTATCTCTCCCCGACTGCCTGAGAACTTCAGGTTAAGGGAGAGAGGCTGAATTTCTCGCCAGTAAGAAAGAAGAGACACATGTCTTCCTCTCTCCACACTCTCAAAGGACTTCAGTGAGGAAACAGATCTCATTGCACCCAGTGGTGATACCCATGCACAGCCAGAGCTCAGAACTTAGCAGCAGCAACCAAGTCATAGACACAATGGCAACAGATGATCATGCAACCTCCTTCTCTTTAAGCTGCATCCTGTCCCAAAGTTTGTTAACTATCTCTTTATCAGGGCACGGAGGGGCTGAGCTGGAAGGAATTGCAAGCACAGACTTCAAAAGTCTGTTGGTCTGCAAGGATGGAGCAGAGAGGTGGAAAAGGGAAAAGCATCAGGCTTGCAAGAGCCAGGACTCACCTCCTCCACACTGAGCAGGACAGCAGATCCCTGCAGCACTCCCTTGAGCCAAGCCCGGGTACATAGCATTCAGGAAAAGCTATTTAAGTGGTGTGCAGGCAAGCAGAGGTGGAACCGAGCAGCAGGTACACATGAGGGTTTGGTTTCAGGGCCCTCCCTGCCTTCTGATAACAGCACGTGGTGTGTTATTAGCAGCATGGCCACACCTGTGCTGGGCCCCTGGTGTATGTATGGTGCTGAGCAAACACAGGCTGCCAGCAGCAGCCTCACAGAGCCCCTGTCCCAAACCAGCTCAGAAGGAAATGCTCAAACACGGGCTCACAGCTGAACCTTGCCCAAAGCCCTGCCTTGGTGTCAATGTTTGTCACCTCTGATCTGCTGGCGCTTTGCAAACAGCTCCCCTGCACTGCAGGTGTGTGCAGGTGACAGGGCAGGGATGTGCAAATGGAGCTGCTGCCCCCCCAGCAGGGGGACCACGCTGCTCCTCACTGCTGAAGGGCCCGGCGCTGAAACAGGGCATTATTATTTTATTACAAGACGATGAAATGTTGCCTTCAGTTCTACAGGTGACACCTGGCTCTGAGCAACAGGCCCAGCAGAAGACCTAACACCTCATTTAAAATGCTATCCTCTTCCAGAGCAATTTTGTCTGGCAGACTCTGCAGGAGGACTGCTTGGGGCTGCTGCTCTGACCCTTTGTCTCAATGGGGGGGGGAGAGATCTGCAGCTCAGCAGCATTCACTCATTCCTTACACCCAAACTGGCAGAGCATTGCTCCTCCAACGCAGTGGGACCTGATGCACCTTGTGCTGAAGAGCCCTCCACCATCAGCTGGGAGTGGCTGGCCAGAAAGCTGCAGGACAGAAAGCACTTTTTGCCCTCTGGCCTCAGTTTCCCCAAGCTGCTACAACACAGACAATGTATGCACACAATGCCAGGTACCTTGACAAGGGTAAAAGCCACCCCCCAAAAAAGGGCACGCCAACCCCACTCTCTGCCTAAGATTTCCTGCACACAGAAGCAGAAGGAGCCACGTGTGGGACTTTCTCCCAGCTTTCACTGAGTTGTGGTGCCATGGGGACACCAGCTGCTGTGAGCACTAAGGCTTTTCCTCCCCCTCCTGCAGGAGAAATGAAGCAGCTTTTCACTCTGGCTTTCTGTTTTAGTTCTAAGCTTGCAAACCAAACTTTTCCTTTCCTTCCTCTGCAGAGAAACAGCAGATCAACACCCGGAGGCTTTCAGCTGGCACCAGGAGGAGGGCGGTCCTGGAGCAGCTCCTACCACCCACCCCACCTCAGCCTGCCCAGCACCCAGAGCCAGGGCATCAAGAGCTGCACCCCTGGTGCCTCCTGCACCCACCCCCCCCCCCTGAAAGCACCCAGAAGGGCAGGAGGAAGACAAGATGGGGTGTCTGCCTCCCACTCACCTGGCAGCACCAGAGGTGAAGCCAAGAAAATCAGCTTCAGAGCATCCATTTCTTCCCAGGTGTTGGGCTGGCACACTGGGATGCGTGCCATTCCCCTGGCGTGAGGGCAATGCCCACTCACATGCTACAGAAAAGCTCTGACACAATTTCTCCCCATCTTGATGCATTGCAGGTACAGCATGGCCATGCAGGGGGAAGCCCAGCGTGAACCCCAGAGATGTGCCAGCAGGTGCACAGGCACACCGAAATGCTGAATGCACTGCTGATATCACACACAGGGACTCATTCACTAAGCAGTGCAGTGTGTTGAAAGTTAACCTCCCACTTCCTTTCTCAGGGCAGAGGCTCCGGGTCACACCTTTTGCTTTCAAATGGCACAAACCTCACAGCACCCGGAGAAATATTTTAAAAGTAGAGTTTGGGTGCAGTTCTGTGGCTGAGAAAAACTCGTGGGCTCCTCAGGAGGATCCGTATCTTACCTCTCCTTAACCTTCCCAGTCACTACAGGCACAGAAGAGCTGAGATCTCCCTGCACACAGCTGCAACCTTCCTGATTTATGGCTGCCATGCACCTACCCCGGGTTAACAAACAGCTGCAGCAACCGTCAGACCACAGAGGATGAGATTCTCCTGTTGTTTGCAACCTGCCAGGGCTCTGTAATAAGCCAAGCTCTTTTGTATATGGGAAATAATTGCATAATTGTCAAGGCTGGAGGCAGGCAGTGCTGCTGGGCAGGGGCTGCTGCAGGTGACACAGCCTCGCACCTTTCCTCCCCTCCATGCCACAGACTGGATGCAGAAATGCATTCCCCACGAGCAGCAGGGAGAGAGGGGAGGGCGAAGGGTATTGTCAGCCCTTGGGTTTCCATTCATACCCGCAACGTTACATTTCCAACCTTCCAAGGGGCTCTTTATGAACGTTATTAATTCCCCGCTCCCTGGAAGCCCTTTGGAAGAAAGGGTGGGAGCGAGCACAAGAGCGAGCGCTTAGGGAAGGGCTGTTCATACAGTGCCAGATCCTTTCACAGCTATCAGTGTCCATTCACCGCAGCTGAATGTGAAATACACCATGGAGAATAGCTCTGGCAGGATGAAATGGAAAACTCACCTGACCTCTCCTGACCCTCTCCCCTTACCCCCCCCCTCCACCAAATCTCCTTGACCCCATTCACAGTGTGGGGAGAGGGGAGTGGTCATTAAGCGGCGATGGGAGAATTGTGATGTATTTAGCCTCTCTGAATTAACTCCGCGTTTCCTTTGAGCTCAGGGCTCCATTATATGGGCAGCCCAGCTTAGGAAAGGAGCAGCAGCGGGTGGAAATCCCCTTAGACCAGAACAAGACCTGAGTGCCACCGCCTGTTTGAAATCCCCTCCCTTACCCCACAGCACCCAGCAGCTCAGATGCTGGGAGATATGAATCCAGGATAAAGCACTGGGTGCTACAGATGCCTCAGGGGATATCCAGAGCCCCGGGGCAGCTCCAATACCTTCCACGTGGATTGTTCATAATGAGGCATTGCAATTTGTTGAGATTGAGAGCTGTGCTTTGGTGCTGCGTGGAATCGCCTTCCTGCAGTGTTTTTGCTGCTCTCAGAGCTACCAAGAAGGCACAGCTCCACTCATGCTTGGCATTTCCCTGAAGGACAGACAGATCTCTGCCCAATGCATGCTTGCACAGAGTTTCAGGGGGCTGTGGGCCACCAAACCACACTGTGCCACCTTATCCATGGCTGCTGGAGCTCACCAGGATGGGGTTCGAGATGCAGCCTCCAGCCCTGCCACCTCAGAGCTGCCGTGATCCATCCATGGCCACCTGGGAGCAGGGGGGGGGGAGAGATGCAGGTGAGTGCTGAGCAGCTTCCCTGCTTTGCAGCAGAAAGGGTGCGAGAAGCAGGTCAGGATCTGACCCCTTCTGATCAACTGGACAAAGCAAAGGCACTGGGGCAGGCTATGAGCAGCAAGCAAAGGTCTCTATGAGATGGAGGAGAGGGTCAGAATGTGTTTTTAAGAATGCACATAAGGAAAGGATGCTTTCCTGTCCTGGTTGGCAGCACTGCCAGTGCTGCGCTGCTCATATAGAGAGGAGACTTTCCAGAAGCAGGGAGAGCTCTGCCCTGCCTGCCCAGCACTCCACACTTCTTCATCTGCACCAACAGAGCTGCCACTGCAGAGCATCACTCCTCATCACCACTCATCCTGAGCTGGAACCAGCTTTGCAAGGAGCAGCCCCAGACCCCCAGACAGGGCTTGGGGCTCTACATCAGAGCTGCAGCCTTTCTTTTGCTATGCCACAGCCTGAGCTCTTGCTTTCACTCACAAGAGAAGCTTCTGTTCTGGGGTGGGAGGGGGAAACAAGAGATGATGCGGTTCCGCTTTCTGCTTGAGTTCATTTCTGCTGTTTAAAGTACTGCACCCATCACTTGCTCTGACTCAGCCTTTCCTCCACCCCCTCCCTCTTTTTTTTTCTTTTTTTTTTAAATTATGATTATTTTTAGCAAAAGAATAAAAACCTAAATCAAACTAGAGAGAAGGAAAATAAATGAGAAAAGCCCCCTCCAGGTGCCCCCCTTCTCAGCAGTGCCATAATGAGCCCAGATTATATCCAGCACTTCATGAGCAGTGTCTGTATTTATCTGTCAGTGTGCAGAGCCCACCCCGCTGAGTCCTTTTCTCTGCCCTGGGCTGGGGGCTCTCACTCGATGCCCATCCAGCAGGCCCACAATGGGGATTATGGAGAGCCCCCTCCACCCCCAGTCCTGCAGAGTAATCCATCAAATTATCCCTCGCTGGCGTCGCTGTCCTCTTCAGAAGGGGAGAGAGGAGGGAGGGGGGAAAAAAAGAAGAAAAAAAATAAGAAAGTGCTCTGAAGGCTTTTAAAGGCACTGAAATTACACTTGAGCCTGAAACGCTCCACCCAGCTGCCATGGCCCTCTGCACAGTGGGCTGGTTGTGAAGGGAATACCGGGCAGCAAGGAACAGGAGAGGGACGCTGTGGATGAGGGACACTGCCCTATAGGAGTTCAGACCCCATAGAACCAATGCAGTGTGCACCCCACTGCTGAGTGCTGGGAAGAGATGGGAGATAGTGGCTGTGGAGCAGCTCCAGCCCTCTTCTGATGGGACAAGAGATGTGCTCAGCACCACCCCGACCCCACTGTCAATCCATGCAATCCCACAGAGCCCTGCAGAGCACTGATGCATGCAATGGGCTTTTCCAGGTGCCCCCCCAAGCAAAGCCAAAGGAAGACCACACTCACCAAAACTCTTCAATATTGAATCCTCGTTTCTGTCCACTGCAGGTATTTAAGAAAATGATGGTGTGGGCTTTTTGGATCACCTCTGGCACCCTGCATGAGATCAGCCCTGCAGGATGACTTTCAGCACGTGTAGAGAACACACAGCTGTCCCAGCACAGCTTATGGCACACAACTGCTGAGCTTTAATCACTGGTGCTGAGTGGAAGAAAAAATTTCCTCATCTGTTACAGAGAAGAGAGGGCAGAAACCCCAGCTGGCTTCACACTGTGTCTACTTTGCCACGGCTGCTTGCAGGGCTGAGAAAACGGGAAGTGAAATTGGAACTCGTGGTTTCCACGCAAAGCACAAATGCTGCGTAACGGCACGCCTGAGTCCCTGCTGCCCCTCCTGCCTCCAGCACAGCTCTGGGACTTCCAGCAGTAGGCTTCTCCATTTCTGGCTTTACTTGGAAACTTGTGACGGTCACAGGGACAGCACTGATGTCCCAGTCTGTGCATGGGGAAGAGAGGAGAGCAGCTGCCCCATCAGCACGGCACCGCTCGGATGGCATCAGGCAACCAGCACCGACCTCTGCAGTCCCTTTTGCTTCAAGTTTTGGGAGCGTGACCTCAAGCTCTTCCTCAAAGGACAGACTTTGAGTCCTAGACACACACAGAACGAATGGGCTCTTTTGTAATCACATGCTAGTTAGTCCATTTTTTCATGGTAATTTTCTGGTCTGCAATTCCAGTTATTTGTGTCCCTGTCGCAGAAGCTGGATGCTAACATATCGCTCAGGAGCCCTTTGACCCCCGCTGGCAGGTTGGTGGGTTTCTCCCTCTCTGTTTTCTGTCTCTAAAAATGAGGTCATGGCTTTGAATGAGACAAAGAGTCTTTGCAGTGTGAGGAACAGCCCCAGGACAGCTGTGAGTGCAGAGCCCCGTCCATCACATTGGCCCCTGAGCACGTGAGAGGCAAACTGCAGCACTACAGGAGCAGCAGCATTTCCATGTACCCGGGATAGTGGAGCTCTGCACGGGCTCTGTCAGAAGCCAAGAGGTTGTTCCTCATCACAACAGACCAGTCATGAGGTCTGGGTCTGAAAATGAGACATTCTACGATTTCACTTCTGCCCAAAGATAAGAAGCAATCAGATGGTATTTTTTAAAGCAGATAAAGCTTCACTGAGAGATTGTTACAGAGAACTTGTCAACGGTTTACGGGCCCGGAACTTGAGCATTCACAATTAAACTCCCAGTGCACTACATGATGTTATGATGTGGAATACCGATAACCAAAAATCATAATGACAGAACTTCGGGAATCTTGTGCTTTCCTCGTTATCAGTTTCACGTATCAAGGACTCCACACATGCAAGGATTTCATGTTATGCTGTAGCCATCTATGCAGAACTCACAGCAGCACCGACCATCAGGAAGGGGAGGTTTTTCCTTCTGAGAAGACAAGGCTCAAAGCTGCAATTCCTATCGGCAGCAAATGGAGCAAAGCGTTGTGCACCCCTCACCTCTCCTTACAACCAGGCACCTCGCTTCTGCTTCCAGCTCCAGGTACCAGCAAGGAGTTCAGCTCCAAATCTTCCTGAGTTTTGCAGGACATCTGTTGGTTAGATTTGTGCCTTGGTGTGGAGTACAGCCATCGGGGAGGACAGGCAGGAGGTGATCTGAGCTCCAACGTTACTCAACGCTTGCTGAAAAGGTTTGCTGTAGCAGCAGAGGGTAAGTGGGAGATTGTGCACTGCAGACTCTCCAAGCAGAGGTGGGACCATTCTCTCCACATTGCCTGTGTTTATTAGAGTAAAGTTCAGCGAGCCACAAATGAAGCAAAAGGACCTCTGCTATCTCTGCAGGATGCTCCAGGCAACTCATATGGAGCCACACAGTGCTGCCATCCATGCCCAGCAAGAGCCAGGACACAGGAGTTATCACCAGCACCAACCCTGGCTGTTTTGACTCCACATCAGCTAACTAGCCCCATGGCACTGTCCTGCTAACAGAGGGGATTGCCAGCATTCCCTGCTCTTGCCCCAAAGGCTCATTTGTGGCTATAGGTATTGGACACAGGCAGTGATGAATGGAAGTATCTGGGGGGGGGGGAGGGATGATGACAGCACAAACATAGACTGTGTTCACAGAAATCAAAGATGAAAGAGGCCCTGTTGAATCAGTTTCCCCAGGGCTGCTCCCAAACAGCACATTCTCCAGTAATTTGTCCAGTGGATGGATGGATCTCAAGCACTGAGGTTGCAAGAATACCCACAGGCTGAGGGACTTCACAGCTGGAAGCACCCTTCCCACTTGCCCTCCCTCTAGTTGCCCTCATGCCCTTCTTTTCACCTGCATGGTCAGACCCCCCTCCAGACCAACACTTTGCCACTCTCCCAAACCTGGTTTTAGTCAGTCCTCAGGAAAAGCCAACCTTCCCAGCCCAATAATTGCTGCTCCAGCCTTGGCTGCAGCACAGCAGCCTTTTGTTCCAGCACAGCTCCAGCTGCTCCCACCGCCGTGCACACAGCAGCTGTTTGTCACAGCGCACCTCTTGGATCCAACAGCACCCACACAAAGCCCTCTCCTGTCACCACACATCGGTACCTGGTACACACGGAAATAGAAAGCTGCTGTCCTCTCATTGCTTCTTTGTGCTCCATCTCTTTGTATTTACGAGCTGCCTCCAACCCAGACCTACAAGGGCTCTCTCTCTCTGCGAGTGGAACAATCCTTTATTCTGTTTGCACAGCTCCAAGCAAAGCAAAGGAACATCCTGCAGAGAGCAGCGCGAGCAATAAGAACTGCAGAGTGAGGACACCCAGCAGCAGCACGTTGGCCCAGATGCTGTGGATCACTGACCCACGTTGGGTGCTCTCTCTCTCCAAGCAGAGGATCAGAGCAGCTCCAGACAAAGCACTGCTCTGCAGCCAGCATGAATTCAACAGCAGGCAACTCTTGGTGTCCTTGGAGAGGACAGAGCGAGCACACCTGTACCCACAGCCAGCCTGAGCAAAGAGCCATTTCTCTGCGTTTCTCCTATAAATAAAATGCAGGTAGTTGGGATGAGATGGCAGAAGAGCAGTGGGTGTGAGGTCTGAGCACTGGGAGGTCAGATCCCAGCAGGATCACTGCTAACGTTGGGTAACGAAAGTGCAATTTCTGAGTTTTATTGCATGCATCATTTCACCAAAAGTCGTAACCCGTAAATCCAAAGCAGGATCCGGATGCTCTCCTCAACTGTGCACAAATTGGCACTAGCCTGCTCTGCAAGAACATGAATGTCATTTGAGTGCTGACATCTCGCACACATTTGAGTCACTGCACTCATTATATTTGCATTTTACCTTAAGTATTAACTCCTGGAGACAAACAGCCACAAAGAACTTCAGCTCCCAGCAGAGCAAAGCAGAGCCAGCCTGCTCCCTGCATGGAAGAAAAGGACTTCAGACCTCACAGGCCGTTCTCATGTGCTTCTCCAGGAAGGTTTCCCTCCAATGTAAGATGGGACAGACCCTGGAGGTGGCCTGGCAGCAGCTCCTGTCAATGTGCAGACAGCAATTGGAGTGAGAATTCATGGGGTCTGCTCCTCCTCTCATGCAGGATAGCAAAATTAAACTCACAGTTTTGGGCTGCAGGAGGAACTGACATGCTAGGATATGAAAACAAGGAAGGAGGGAACAAATCTGAGGACCTCCAAGGAGCAGCACATGTAAAATCATAATAAAATGGGTGCTTTATGTATCCGTGTTTTCAGAACAAGCAGCTCAGTGCTTTTGTTGGTACATCAGCAACTTTCTGCAGTTCTATAACACAAAATTGGATTCAGAGATTCTTAAAGCGGTGATGAACAACAGCAGCACAAGAAATAGACCCCGCCTGGGTCCTCCTGCATGGCATTCTACGCTACTTTAAACCAGTCTAGAGCTATAGGAACAACACATTAAGAGTGGTACAGTGCAGCAGATTAGCAGCATTGTGTATAAAGGCTATGGGGCATCCAGATTTGTTTTCATTTGCTTTTGTACAGTTCTTGGAAGCAATCTGCAAACCCTCAGTGGACCCAACACAAACATCTCCAGGTTCAGATGCTCAGAGTGAGGCAGGGACGTCATGGAGCAGCTGCCACCTTCAAAAAGCATTCACAAAAACACATTCAGGGAGACCCATGCATCTAAGAGCCACCTCTACCCTGCTGCTTTGCTGTTCCATAGATGTGATGCTTTTAGAACCGGCTTCTTCTGTACACATGCTGGCAAAGCTCCTACCAGTGGCTTCTCTACAGGATTGGGCCACTTGGGTTATTATTATTTGTAAACTTTGTTATTTATTTTAGAGAGAGCAGTGACCACACTGCAGGAATACATGTGGCCACAGAGTGCACCCGGGGGAACGCTTAGCAGGAGGTGTGCCACACACAAACCCATCTCTCCTAGGGACTCTAGCAAAGAGCAAGCAGACCAAAAGGTTTCACTTTCCAACTCAGCCACCAGCCTAGAGATTCCGGCTTCTCACACAGCATCTCTCACTGCTAGCAACAAGAGGCTATGAGCTTCCAAAAGAGATGCTGTCTGGAATATGCTCAGCACCTGCTATCACTCTGCTGTGTAACAGTGATGATAAGCTCAGAGAGCAGCCCGTGGGATTGCTGCTTTATATGCAGGTATCTCCAGGCTGCTGCAACGCACAGCCATGAGGTTTGAGCTCAGTGCTGCTCAACCAGAAGCTCTTCCAGAAGAGGAGATGCTCCCACAGGAGACCCCACACCAGCTGTGTACATAGCGAGCTGCAAGGCAATGTACCCACCAGCAAACAGCACGGGGAGAAACTCCCTACAAGGAGAAGCTTCTCCCTAAATCCTAAGATTGGCTTCTATCCTGAAATACAAGGATTTATATCCTTTGCAAAGTCCTCATTTAATTTCCTATTAATTCTAGAGATTCTTGCTATCCGTATCAAGTTTCTAATCCTTTTTTTTCCCCCCCAAATCCCATAAGCTGAGCCCTCTTGGCTCCCACAGCGTTGTGCAGTAATGACTTTCAGAGCTGAAGGCATTGCAGGAATTGCTCTCAGCTCTGCACCGCTCCCACTGAGGGACAACGCTGTGAGCTGTGGGTCGGGCAGGTCCAGCTCACCAAAAATGAGAAGCAAATTGCAGGCAAGGTGAATAATAAGGATGGTTTAAAGGCTGGTACACGTTTTTCAGGAGCGCCCGCATGATTCCAGTGCCCAAATCATTTGGGTGCTTTTGAAGTTCTTACTCATGTTCTATTTCTATAAATCCCTGGTTATTCTCACGTTACACACACACACTTCTCTCCTAAGCCTGTATGGAGGACTAAATCAGCCACAGACCCGGATCTGCCCCAAGCTGGGTTGCTTTCTCTGTGCTGTCCACAGAGAGGTCCAAATGAGGACCAGGAAAATCGTTGCTGAGGTGTTACCCCTCCAAATTCAGTCTTGTTATTCTAAATGCGAGCACGAAAGCCCAGCACCTTGCCAAGCCTGCCTGCCACCGCAGTGAAAGCTCTACCCGATCCCAGTGCTCTTCTCTTCCTCCTAAAGCTGTCACTCACGGGACGACCGATAAGCGCCACAAACAACGGATGCAAACATCTGTACCATCAAAGGTGGGAACTCTGCAGAGCAGTCACACTGTGACACACTGACACAAAACCCAACGCAGCCCCGTGTGCTCCCCCCATTCCCGAAAAGGACTCAACGCAGCGCAGCAGCAAAACCACGCAGAGCCCCCCGTGAGCTGCAATGAACGCCTCCTCCTGCCACGTGCTGGCTTCCTTTGGTTTAAACATCCACTGACCTGCGCTCGTGGGTGCTCACAGGTCCCCGCGGCTCCTCGGGGGGTTCAGGAGGCGCACGTTCAGCTCTCGCTCCCCAAACCTTCCGCTCGGTTGTCCTTAAGCCGAACTCGGTCACAGCAGGCGCCTCTGCAACAACGAGAAGCGTGGGAAGCGCTCCGGCCGCGGCTCCGGGGGCTGAGAGGTGCCGCCCCGCAGCCGCTCTCCCTCCGGTTCCGCACACGTCGGATTTTCGGGTTTGGCTTTCCTACAGCGATAGGCTCGATGGGAGAATCGGCAGAGGAGATCTCCATTCGGCTGTGAGCAAGCCGCAAACGCTGCCCCGAGCCCTGCGAGCTGCCCCTGAACAGAGCATCTCCATCCCCATCCCCGCTCCTACCTCAGCCCGGTCTCCGCCGCTGTTTAAATGTGCAGGTGGGGGCGGGAGCGTGCGCTGCTACGGGCGGAGCGGGGCCGTTAGGGGGGGGTCAGTCGGTCTGTCTGTCTGTCGGTCGTCCGCCCCTCTCCCTCCCGGTCCCGGCACCCTCGGGTCAGCGAGCAGCCGAGATTTTAAGAGCCTTCCCCCTCCCCGCCCTCTTTTTTTTTTTTTTTTTTCCTCCTTTTTCTTTCCTCCTTTCTGCTGAGGAATTAGCAGCAGCCTGAATCGTTTCTCGTTTTGTTTGGTTTTCCTAATCTATTCATTACTTGTAATTGCTTGGATTGTATGCAAATGAATTCCATGCTATGGGAAGCTTGTGACCTGGCCCCTGGACATTATTCATGGTACATGACTGCTTCAAATCACATGGCATGTGTGCGAGAGCGGGGGGGGAAGACAGACAGACAGACTGACCATGGACCCACACACTGTCTGACCCTCTCTGAGTAATGTCTAATTGCTCTCACAACAGCCAAACAGAAGTGGGAGCTGAGGAGAAACGAACACCGACCCACACGATGAGCACAGCAGCCGTCCTCAAACATCTGCAGCAACGCAGGGACAGGGGAGAGGAAAAACAAGAGCACGGCTGACAAAAGCAGCTGTTCTTCAGTCTGTGCTCACAAAAGGGAGGGCGAGCACTTCGGCCCATCGGTCATCAAAAGGCTGTTGTCAATTTGTACTGTTTAATAGCTGGCTGTGTGTTTTGCAATGCTTTAGCCCAGCTGCAGAAGCGTTAGGGAGATGGAGTTATTTTTAATCTTCGCAGGGTCCCTCCTTTGGGCAACTCTGTACCTCTCAAGGTCAGAAATCCCATTTCCCCGTTACATTTCAGCTTGGGTCAGCAGGATGGCCTTGTTTTCACCCAGCAGCTGTTCCCTCCCTGCTTGCTGAAAGGACTCACCCGTCGTGGAAAAAGCAGAGAGGCACCTGCACGTGTTGTCACTTGAACCGATGAGGACTCGCTCACAGCAGACAAGGAGAAATGACACTCCTGTTTCCTGCAATAAGTTTTTTTGGCACTTTCAGATGCAGCCAGAAACTCACTGGAAGGAAAATAACAGAAAGCCCTGAAGAGCTAGCTATGACTTCAGCTGGTAAAGTGCCAGAGCACACATTTGGGTGGGGAGAGCTACCCCTGTTCACAGGCAATTCAATAGCTATGAGCACTGCTCTTTTTATGCTCTTCCTTTGCAGCAGAGCACACGGCTCTCACCCAGAGAATTCCTGAGCACAGGGCTGAGGCTCAGTGCTGCAAGGCTCTGCTCACAGCAGCAGCACAAAGTCAAGCTTCTTACTCCCCACTGCCAGCTCTGCCTCCAGCGTGGTACCCTGGCTGAAGCAGAAACACCTGCAGGTTGGGATGGCAGGTGCTGCTGCTAAGGGGAGGCTCTGCTCCTTCCATGCGTTGTCACAGACTCTCATTTCATTTTTTCCTTTAATAAGGCAGCACTAACATTCACACGCTGACACACCAGTCAGTAAGGTAGCAGCACAGCAATGGCAGCACCCACACAGCTGTGAGCACAGAGTGGGCTCCAATGTTCCCAACAGAGCAGAGGAGGATGCCAGGGCAGCACTGTGCCTGCGATGCACGTCCTGCTCACACACCTATGGGATGCACCAATTTCCACAAGAGTGATGCTTGCCTACAGGGACATGAGGCCTTCTTCATAAACACCACAAGGGAAAGAAGGCCATGTCACTGTGCTGAGTCCCCACTCCTCCCTGCTTGGGTCCTTCTGCCTTTTACTATAGATTTACAGATCTCAGTCTGTATCACAGACACAATCACAGCTCCCAGCAGAACAGAGCGAGGCATGAGAAGACTGGACATTTCCTGAGTATTCCTACATGTTCCTAAATGCATCCAGTGGGTAACCAGAGGGTTCTGAAACATCAGGCCTGAGCACAGCAGTAAGCCTGGCACCATTTGTGCTGCTTGTTGCAGTAGCTCCAGTCCTGAGCTCGTAACTGGACCTGATCTCATTGCTGAAGCAGTGAGGAGGTTCAGAACATTGCAGGATGGAGCCATCATGGGAACCTGCAAATAAGATTAATTTATCAAAAGAGGGAAATACAGCATCAACTCACATCTCAGCTGCTCACGCCTGATTAGATGGCAGCACAGATTTGCCCCAGCCTTATCTAAATCTCACGCGTCCAGCCAAGCAGAGCTCAGTTCGTGGTATCTGCTAGAACTTGACCAGGATTAGACACTACCACACGTAGCACATCACACAAGTAGCTGGTGAGCAGGAAAGGGCCCCAGCTTTACTGTAGGTGCTGTGCTGTGACAGCTCAGGCCATTTGGCTGTAGGTCTCTTCCTCAGACCTTCACCCTGCTGCACAAAGGGATTCCATGGATGCTCTGCATTACCCTGAAAGACACAACAGCCCCGGATTGGCCAAAGGTGGCCTTAAACCCATCTCGTGTTTAATTACTGAGCTTGAATGCTGACTCACAACGCAAACCTTTTGCTCTCCATAAGCCAAGAAAACAAACCCATCCCCAGCACCCCACCCAGGGAGGTTAGCAGCGACTATTTACAGAGCACTCCGATGCTATGGTGGAGAAATATTACAGAAATGCAAACAAGTAACATACTTTGGAGGTGCTCAACGCTGTGCCTTGAGCACAAAGGTGGGAATTCACTGCGTGCTCCAGATAGGCAGATTTCCTGATGAGCTGATGGTCCTGGACCTCTCGTGCCAGTCGGGAGAGATGATGCCCGAAAATGGACTTTGTACAATTGTGCCTAATGTACCTTTAAGGAGAGAAAGCTGCTAGAACAAACAAAAGCAGCGCCCGGCCGTGCAGGCTGTTTATACTTGGGGTAGCCAGAGCACAAGGCTGCACTTTAGGGCTTATCTTCTCTCTCTTTCTAAACAGGAAACGCACTTTTGTTTTGAGCATTCTGGGAGAAGCCACTGGGGTAGAACCTTCAGAACACAGGGTGTCAAAAAATGAGTGTTTCAATTCCCTCCTGAGGCCCAATGGGTGAGCACCCCAACCAGCAGGGATGCTGCTCCTAAGCACTACAGGGACATCTAGCACTGAGCAGCCAGTAAGGCCAGCTGTAGGTCAGGCAAGTCTTTAATTGCTATTTCTTAATTAGGATTCTCGAGACTTAAATAATCTCATGCTTTTGGTGTTTTTTTTTTTTCTTTTCTTCAGACTCCGTAAAGTTTGGGCAAATTTGGTTAGAAGACCACTGTTTGGTTCAGAGAAGGAGTCCCCTTGCTGGATTCCAAGGTCTTTGCAACCAAACAGACTCTCTCCCTTGTCAAAATCCTTATTGATACTAGAACTGCTCCCACTGTTTGCCACTCAGCATCAATGTTCCTGCAGGCGATGCAGAAAGCAAGCTGTCTGCGAAACTGTATGTACACGAGTGTTGCTAAACTGGGTTTGAAATGCAGGCATATCTGCTGTATTTACAGAGCATAGGACAAACATTTTAGCGTTCCCCCTGCTGTTCCCTGGGCTGCATTCTTAACCTCTGTCTCCTCCAGCCAAGCTGCTCTGCTGTACGCAGCATCATGCGCTCAGTTGCCTTTGCTGATTTTCAGGATGGAGCTGCAGTGTGGAGCTGCCTGCCCTCCACCAGGCAAGCTGTGGTTGCCCCTTTCCCTGCCAGGAGGGCACTGCAGAGCCTGGCAGAGAGGCATATCCTTGCTACAGGGAGAAACAGCCACAACAGCAGCATGAATCCAAACAACCTCACAAAGGGGAAGCTGAGCATCACCTCACTGCACAGCCTATAGGACATCACAGACACCTCACAGCACATTGCTGCCCCTTCTTCTCCACCACTCCTCACCCTACAATTGAGGCAGGGAAGAATTTCCCAGCCAGGGTCTTCAGCCAGGTTAGGAAGCCATGCCTCTGAGATAGCTCAAGTTCTCCTCACTAGATTATTCAACAGCTTCCCACATCCTGCCCACTTTCTTCCCACGTTTAACCGAAGGGGGTATATTTTATTTTGCTGCAGCCTGGTCACATTCCCACAGGGAAAAGCAGTGGCTTCTGGTGTCAGTTTACAATTTTCAGCTCCCAGAATAAGATTTTAGGGTCTTCCTCACGGGTTAGCCTAACTCGATGCAAATCTTGTTAGAGAAAGAGGATTTAGCTCCTTCCCACCCTGCATATTTGGTACCTGAAACTTAAAACTGCCCTCTCTGCCTTGTCCCGCTCAGTTCTGCTAAGCTAGAGACAAAGGAAAGGATTTATTTCTGTTTCGGGTGCCAAGGAAACTGTCAGCTCCCATTCAGCCTCGGCCATTCCCCGCACCACACTTGCTCAGCCACTTGCAAATGATGCACCCCATGAGCCATCCATTCGATTTCCCAGGACAGCTTCAGCCACCAGCACTGCTGGGGACCGCATGGCAGCAGGCAGGGAGCAGTGGGATGGGGCCCTGGGGTGCACCAGGCAGAGGACCTCGGCTGAGCAGTGCTTACTAATAAAAGTCCCTCTCAAAACAGGGCAACAAGATGAAAAAACATGTTCTTGGCTGTCAGTTCCAGCTGGAGGCCATCTCATTAATGAAATCCTACTCATTTGCAAGGG